CCCATTACATCCACTCATTACCACAACCCTCACCCACTACACCCATTACATCCACTCATTACAACTCCATACACTCATCTCCCTAGCCTATAAATACATCCACCCTTCACCATAATTTGGGGGGCCATCATCCAAAGACACTACATTTCACATCTCACAACTTCATTCACAAACACAATTTCCTAGCCGTGCAAATCCATTCCATCCATATATCCATACACATCCTAAACACTTGTGCTACAACAAGGTGGTGAAAACAAAGGTCCTTGGCGTTTCAAGCTTGGAACTTTGGAGCATTTTAGGTGTACTTCGTTCTTGCTTTCAATGTCTACTTTGTTATTTTCTAATTTTGTTGCAATTATGAGTGGCTAAACCCCTATTTAGTTAGGGGGAAGTTTGAAGCCATGAACATGCTTGAGATTTGAATTGATTTCTTCCAATTGTGATTTGATAAATTGTGATTGCAATTCAATTATCTATTTTATTCATAACCGATTCTTGTATGTTTATGAAGGATGCATACTTAGTTTTCATGCATGAATTAGATGCTAGAATATAAATAAGTTTCACCTAATCGTTACAAGTTTATATTCATGAGTAGTGAAGGTTGTTTATCACAATCGCGTTAATTGAATTCTTGGCAATTGTATCATGCATTCATAGTTATAATTGCCTCGTCAACACTTATGATTTTCATTGAACGTAATGATCTCTGATTATACCTCTATTATGCATTCATATAGGGGACTTTTAGAGAATGATTTGGGTTGTCGCATGCATTCATCCAATTCAATGAGTAAAGGAAAATCTGAGGGTTAATTTGTGCATCACGGTTAATCTGGGGTGTTGAGCATCATAGTTTATTAAAAAGCAATTGGAGATTGATTTGTTTGCAAGTGTGTCATGTTTGGAGAAAGACCTTCTAGCTAGTCCATCATCCATCCAAAACAACCAATTTCGTGCAAATCTGTTTAGTTCTAGTTTCTGTTTTGTTTTACTTTATTTTTGTCCAAAACCCAATCCCCCTTTACTTTAGTGTGTCTAATTAGTTAAAATATGTTTTAGTTTGTGTTTTTAAGTGTTTTGAGTCTATAGAGTCTAGTTAAGTGTTTTTAAATTTCTTTTTGTAAGTCAGTTTAGTTTAGATTAGCAATCCCTCCTAATCCCCGGTCCAGAACGATCCCTACTTATACATATACTACAATTGTCAAAAGAGGGTTTAATTTGAGTGCTTAACTTTCATTCGCATCATACTTAAGCAAGGGGAACGTGTAAGGCAAGTGAAAATGATACATTGAAGTATGTGGAGACAAGCACAGCAAACACGTGCTGATTTATCTCCGACAAAGCCGAAGATCACTTGCCATGTGAAGCTCCTCACGATACAACTTCATTCAAGATCAAGCCTCGAAGGTCCTTGAAGAAATCACAAGTTTGATTCAAGATCAAGTGTCCACCACCCTTGAATTAAATTTAGCTCTAGATAAAAGAAGTAAATTCAGACATTTGGAAGAAGTCTAACAGAAGGCCCTCCAGCCCAGTTCAAGAACAAGCATGTGGAAAGTTAACAACAAGTAAAACACCTCTTTCGACAACTCTTCTTACTAAAAGACTGAAGCAGAATGATCAACGATCAGCCTAAATGATTTGAAATCAGGGGGAGATACTCATCAGAGGGAGCATTAAAAAACAGATCAAGATTTTAACAAGTTAATTGAAGACTTATGTGGACATCCAAGAGGGAGTGTTGTAAATAGTGGGTATGTATGCCCACATGCATATAGTAAACATTTCACAAGTTTAATAGTGTTTTGTTTGCTTTTCAAATTGTTTGCTCTATAAATAGAGCATTACAAGTGTTAAAAAATGTGGTGATAAAAGGAGGAAGAGAGGAAGAAGTGAGAAACCACAAGACTCACGGCAGAGAGGAGAGTTATCTTTGTAATCTTATTACTTCAGATTATAAATAAAAGTACTGCTGCTACCCCGAAGATGTACTCCAGTCACACTGACTATAGAGGAACCTCGTAAATTTTGTGTCTTGCTTGTTTATTCCACTGCATACACCGTCGATTTTACAACAACTTCTAATTTGTATACACAAACTAAAATTTTTTCACTCACTAAGATTCGGAAAAGGATCCCCGCCAAATCATTTTCCTATGGATCTTAGAGATCTTGTGATTGGAATCGTCTATCGTATATCGTGCGGTTAGAAATCATTTTAAAATTTAAAATTTAAAAATAAATATAAATAGTACCTAACGAAAACTGACCGTATTATGCACAATGAACTGTCGTGATAACGGGATCCCTAGGATCCTAGGAAAAGGATCCTTCCCTAAGATTCATACCAAATTCAGTTAAAAGCTGCTTGTTCTACACAAAAGAAAGATTTGATGATTTAACATAAAGAGGTGCATAGCTATGTTTTTAGCTTCACGTCCAACAGAAATATTACCTTTCATTTAAGTACTGCTGCTACGTGTAATTTAAAAATAGTGATCATATATGCCCTTTTCGGCTTTTGATTCACAGGATAAATTGACGATCACGTAATCCGAATAACAGTTGCTTCATTCAACTTCGCATTTCATGTTTTTTTATCATCTCGCATTCCCTACAGTTTCAGAACGCACCGCAATCTAGTTTTTCTACAATGCAACAGAGCATTTGAATATCTAAAAAATAAATAATTAAATGTGAACGTTGAGATTCAGCAGTTATAAAACGATAGATCATACGGCTACAAGTCAATGCATTCAATACCACGGAGCCACACCCCACTGCTAACAAAGACGTTTTCTTAACTTTTGAGTGACGTGGAACACATATGGGCGTTGATATTTACTTAGGTGGTGATGCTATTTACATACTCTGTTTTATCTTCTACACACCCTTTTAATTTATATCATTTGATCCTCCCAATTCATTCGATTGGACGCACCGAAAATTGAGAGGGTGTGTGAAAAGTAATGAGATGTGTGTGGATAGCACCACCTTTGTTTAGGTTAACCTACTCTGATATCATTAAGAAAATTAAGATTTCAACCCAATACCAATTAACAATGTGGAGTAACCCAACTTCTATAAACCAATCAACTCAAATTCTTATAACCTTATTCAAGGTTTTTAAACTTTCCAACGTGGGACAACTCTCTGCATCCTTGGACTATGTTTCATTTTTTTATTATTGTCAATCCTTTCTTTATTTATAAAATGGATTATATTCTTCCTTTTGATTTTTTATACTCAGGGATATGGGGAGAAAAAGAAAGATCTCAATGGGAAGCAATGAATATATGCCCTTTTATCATCATGAAAGTAAGAGAAAGAAATCAAAAGAGAGGATGTTACACTTAAAAAGCTTGATGTTGTCTCCACTTATAAATATGCTCGTGGTTCTGAAGAAGTATTTTCATTTCAACTACATCAAATATTCGCAGGCCTAATTTCAATCAATGCCAACTTCCTCTTTTCTCTTCCCCGTACTCTATCTACTAATCTCTATCTCAATTACAAGCAAGTCTTCATCTCTTCTATGTATTTCTTGTACTTAGGGATGTCGATTGGTCGTGTTCGGATTTATCTATTTATATTATTTCGTTTTTCTGTCAAACTCATTAGTTGATCAACACGTAAAACGATATAAAAACGGGAAAATTTATCAATTTATTAATATAATATGAGTTTAATTGTGTTAGTTAAGTGTCTTTAATTCGTGAGAATTTCAAGTTGTGTAACGCGTGATGTCTGCAATTGCCACCTTTACTGCGCTGTCCTCGTTTTTTGGGTTTCTAATTGTGTTTTCTTGTTTCCGTTTCTTGTTTCAGATGGGGCTCAACTGATTCTAGTGAACAACTGCCATGAAAGCATATGGCCCGGTATACTCGGCAGTGCAGGCGTAGACACTCCTCAAAGCGGCGGTTTACATCTTGGCAGCGGCGAGGAATCAGTTCTTGATGTACCTGAGAAGTGGTCAGGAAGAATATGGGGCAGGCAGGGTTGCTTCTTTGACAGTAATGGAAAAGGCAACTGTGAGACCGGCGATTGTTTTGGCCAATTGCATTGCCAAGGAAAAGGAGGCGTGCCTCCAGCGACCGTGGTTGAAATGACGCTCGGAACATCAACTTCACCCCTGCATTTCTATGATGTGAGTTTGGTTGATGGCTTTAACTTGCCCGTGTCAATGAAGCCGGTTGGTGGGGGAATAGGGTGCGGTGTTGCCTCATGCGAGGTTGATTTGAACGTGTGCTGCCCATCTGCGTTGGAAGTGAGGAGAGGAGGCAGGGTGGTCGGGTGTAAGAGTGCCTGCTTGGCTATGCAGTCTGCGAAGTATTGCTGCACAGGAAGCTACGCAAACCCAAACACTTGCAAACCAACCCTTTTCGCACATCTGTTTAAGGCCATATGCCCCAAGGCTTATAGTTATGCCTTTGATGACTCCTCCAGCCTTAACAAATGCCGGGCTTCGCGGTATGTCATCACTTTCTGCCCTCCACATTGAGGCATGGCTGAAAAGGATGTAGCCAATGGCTATACTTGGACGAAACTGTTGTTATTCTGTTTTTTTCTTTTTGAGAAGATTGGATTTACTTTTTAAAGAAATGAGTAATGCTAAAACCAGATTACATCACTGTTAATGCTTACGCTTTACATAAATTATCATCGGCGAATACGTAACCAAAAGAAGTGAACCTTCAGCTAATACTCCAAAGAAATTAAACAACTTTAGACGGCAGTTTCCTGTTGGTTTCGTAGTTGTCAGTATTTTAACCAAAATTCTTTGTATCTAACATGCACATGATAGGATTAGCTCGACGATAAGTGTTCGAAGCAGAGTTGCATAGCGTCCTATACAACAAAACCGAAGGAAAGCTCCAACTGTTCTGCAAATAAAGAATCTTTAAACCAGGCACCATTTAGAGGTCTGGTCTATAAACTCCGAATGCTTAGAGTTATTGATGCAATTTTAAGCTGAAAAACTTTGACAACGGAACATGGGTTCATACACAGATGTAGCACTTGTTCAGGAGGAGGTTGTAGTGCCCCCGACTTTTGGCTCGTCTCTGCAGACACCAAATGTTTTGGAAATAGCAAAGATCAACCCTTTGCACGTCCCTGAAAGATACCTTCTTAAGAATCAATGCCGAAGAGCGCGGATCATATGTGTCAGCTTTCTTCGGAGATTCCTACCACTGATTTCTCTCTGCTTTCAAGTGGGAACACGGAGGAGCTTACCAAACTACGCTTGGCTTGCAAAGAATGGGGCTTCTTCCAGGTAATTGATATCGAGTACAGCTATAATTTAATTATAACGAGTATTTCAACATTTTTACCAAATTTTGTTATGTCGAAACTTTCATTTCAATTAAGTATGAGTCCACTTTAAATCTCTTTTACTTCGAACGAGTAAGACACTAACATTTGGTGATCAAATTTCGTAACTCTAGCGCTATTTGATATTAACTTTTCAGTTTAATTCATTGCAGATGGGAAATCATGGAGTGGCAACAGAAGTAATGAGGGCATGAAGGATGCTACTGCGAAGTTCTTTCAACTTCCATTAGAAGAGTAGGATAAGGTTGCTATGACATCGGACGCCATTCAAGGCTACGGGCATGCACAGTGGCGGATCCAGGAAATAATGTTTGGGGGGTCAACAAGGATAGCGCGCGCAGCGCAAATTTTTTTTTTTAACAAAAACGGCATGCATATCGTCATTTCATCAGGTCTTGGTAGGATAGCGTGATCAGCCTCTCGCCGATAGTTATCATACTGAAAGGTGCCTTTACTTTCCCTGACAACCAAAAATAAACATAAAATTGGGTTGTATGGTTCATAATAAACATAAAATTCTGGTTGTTCAAAAAAAAAAAAAAAAAACATAAAATTCTGATGTCAATATGGTGGTTCATAATAATATTTTTTAGAGATCATATTAATTTATGTTGAATATAAAGAGAAATAAAGTTGTTAAATATGTGGATGTGGAAAGGGGGCACACACATCATTACCATTAATTTATGTCAAATATGTGGATGTGGATGCATGGAACTTTGCAATCTGCACCAAGACTTAATGGTGAACTGACAGCCTATGACTTTTTACACAAAGCAAGCAATTTGATGCTAGCTGTACAAATCTGATTGGAGAGAAACTAAGAAAAAAAATTAAATAAGGAGTGTGTGGTCACGTGGTGTGAAAGGAAGAGAGAGAGTCTTCGTCTTCGTCTTCCTCTTCCGCCAAACCGAACGAAAACCAGAAGAAACCCAGAAAAATGCAGCAGCTCCAAGAGGTCGCGCCCGCAGTTTTAAGGGGTCGCACCAGCAGCTCCAAGGGACCTCTAAGGTTATTTCCATGGCTTCCAAGGGGTCGTGCGACCCCATTGATCCCACTGTGGCTCCGCCTCTGGGCATGCATATACGATTTCGGAAGATCAGATACTGAACTAGTCTGACTTACTGGCTCTTCTTGTTTACCCATCTCTATATAGAAAGCTCAAATGTTGGCCAACCACACCGAAGGAATTCGAGTATATATGTTTGTAAAATTTCAGGAAAAAAATAGAGTATTATTTCTTGCGATCCAAGTATAGGTCGTACCCAGTGCATAAGTCTCTCGCTTTACGCAGGGTCTGGGAGAGGTGAATGTCGGCTAGCCTTACCTGTATCTAATATTTTTAATTATAGTTTTTGTGAAGGGATGCAATTGAGACATATTCTGGTGAAGTTAAAAAAGTTGGAGAGGAGCTCATAAGAGCTCTATCTTTAATTATGGGGATGGAGAAGGATTCTCTTCTCGGCCTGCATAAAAGAGTTGGTCCAAGTTTGGCTTGTGAACTACTATCCGCCGTGCTGCATGCCTGATAAAGTTCTAGGCAAAAGTCCGCACTCTGATACGAGCACCAACGAGCATCATAACCATACTCATGCAATAAGACAACGTGACTGGATTACAGATCCGGAAGGAAGGAGAATGGGCGCCGGTCAAGCCAATTCCAAACCCTCTAGTTGTAAATGTCGGAGATGTTATTGAGGTACTATATATAAGTAGCACCGTGGAGATGCTTCTCTAACACTATAAAAGTCTTCCTAGATTTACCTGAGAAAAGTGAGCTTCACATTTGTTTCTGTCATGACAGATATGGAGTAATGGGAAGTACAAAAGTATTGAACACAGAGCTGCCACAACTGAAGGCCAGGCAAGGTTATCTTATGCAACATTTCTTATACCACATGATGATGTCGAAATTGAACCATTCGATCACATGATGGACTGTCCACGATCTGTTTGGAAGTACAAGAAAGTCAGATGTGGAGATGATCTGAGGGAATCCTTGAAGATGAAAATGAATGGGAAGGCACACACTCAAGTGGCAAAGATTGAAACTTAAAATTGTGTTTTCTATTTACAAAAGCCAGAGTAAACAAAAGAAAAGAAAAGGACTTAAAATCAAGTAGTCCTCAATAATCAGCAGGCATTTCTTTTGGTTTCTGTCTCTGTAAGAAATCCTTTCCATTTTAAATTGGATAAGTCAGCAATCCTATACACTTCTGTACAAGCAAGAACAAAACAGTGAACCTTCTAATTCAAGCTAAAACTGCTTGGCTCCTTACATATACGGAGTCATTCTTTTATATTTGTAACTCACAATCCGACACATAAGCAAATGGAACTCAATAAAATCATACAAAGGAAAAGTTTCTGCAGACATATTGAGCAATGATTTCTTAACGAGGAAGAGTATGACTCTTTATATATGCAACGAGCCAAGTTTACGACTTTGCCAACATACAAAAACTTCAATCCAAAATATAAAAACTGACAGCGTCTCAACTAACATTGTCCGAAAAAATGTCCTGAACTAAACATGAGAAATATGAAATTTTCCCTTCTTTGATTAATTAAATGAGGTAGGCAGAAAGGACACCAATGATCCTATTAGTCTACTAATTATAGGGAATCTTCGTAATCAGGGAAGATGAGGATGCTGCTCGGTCTACAAACCAAAATTAGTCCGAGACTAATTAGAACACTGGTTTTTATTCAAGCTCTGGAGAAGGGAGGTTTTATCGAGGGATATTCAAGTGAAGTAAGGAAAGTTGGAGGTAAGCTCCCTAGGTCTCTATCTTTACATGTTGGGGCGGAGAAGGATGCTCTTCTCGGACTGCATCAAGAGTTGGTCCAATATTTTCGGGCAAACTACTATCCTCCATGTTCCATGCCTTATAAAGTACAAGGTATGACTCAGACAAAAACACCATCACCATACTGTTGCTTTCAAGATGTGGCTCTAATATCAGCCACCAACCCAACACATACTTGTGCAAGAATACACTGTTACCGGATTACATATTTGTCTAGGAGAAGAACGGTGCCGTCGATTCCAATTCTCAATGCTCTCGTAGTAAATCTTGGAGACGTTATTGAGCAGTGTACTGTGTAAGTATGTAGCATCAAAGATGTTTAACTAGTGCTAGAGTCTTTATTGAAATTCTTATATATTTTCTATATATATATATATATGTTTAGACTAATTAATTTCTATACACGACAGATATGGAGTAATGGGAAGTGTGAACACGAAATTTTCCTGAAACGAAAGAGACAAGAACAACGTGCACAAAGAATATTTGTATTTGATGATTTTGGGTTACAATCTCTCTCTATTTTGATCATCTGATTCGATCTCCGTAAGGTGTTGATTTGTGGATGTTTGTTTGATCCAAGGGCCGTCGAGGCTTGATTTTGGATGAACCGTTGGAAGTTTCTTCAAGGGCCGTGGGCTTGATCTTTGAAGGTGGATTTGAGCGAATCTTCAAGGAGCCGTTGGGGCTTGATCTTGAGGATGAGTGTTTCTTCAAGGGCCGTTGAGGCTTGATCTTGAATAACGGTGATGAGTGGATCTTCAAGGGCTTTTGGGCTTGATCTTGAAGAACAGTGATGAACGGATCTTCAAGGGCTTTTGGGCTTGATCTTGAAGGTGGATTTGATCCAAGGGCCGTCGGGGCTTGATCTTGGAAGAACGATGAACGAAGAACGAAGAACACTCTCTTCAAGGGCCGTCGGGGCTTGATCTTGAATTGGTGGATGATTGTTGATCCAAAGGGCCGTTGGGGCTTGATCTTAGGATGAACGATGAACGAAGAACGAAGAGCGAAGAGAGCTTTCTTGATTCTTCGGGAACCTGGATGCTTGAGAGCTTCGGAGTTTCAGAGCTTCAGAGCTTCAAGAATTTTGCCTAATGATTTTGGTCCTCTCAAATGAATGAATTAGCCTTCTAATTATAGAAATTTCCAAGGCCTAATTTTGAATATAATATTCCAGATGAAATAAGTCGTTTCTGCCAGGTGTTGACACGTGTCCTGTTTGATGACTTTTCCAACTTATTTCGATTTTTTGTTTATACACACGCTACGTGTAAAATTTATGTAATACATGAGCGTTGAAACTTTGATTCATCGGTCAATATTTATTTACCGAAATTTCGATGTCTACAAATGCCCCCACTTCAAGGCGCGTCGTATACATGTGCTTGTCACGTGTAGGAGATGCGTTTTGAAGTCCATTACTGTAGATGTCGATCCAAGGGCCATCGAGGCTTGATCTTGAATTGGGCTGGAGATTTCTTCAAGAGCTGTTGAGGCTTGTTCTTGGACTTTGTTTGAAATTTCTTCAAGGGCCGTCGAGGCTTGATCTTGAAGGTTAAAATTGGACCACAAGGAGCTTCATGTGGTAGATGATCTTTGGCTTTGGTAGTGGACGAATCGGCACGTATTTGTTTTTGCGCTTTGTTTACTTTTCACAGCTTTGATCTTGAACTGGGTTGGAGGATTTTTTGGATTCCTTCAATTGTTGATTTTCCACAGCTTATTCTTGAACTAGATTTGATTCAAATATGGTGGACGCTTGATCTTGAATCGGACTTGTGATTTCCTCAAGGGCCGTCGATGCTTGATCTTGAATTTGGCTGGAAGCTTCTTCAAGGGCCGTTAAGGCTTGATTCTTGAAGGTTGACTCGAACACATGGCAAGCAGGCACGAGGTGAAGGTGACAACTTGTTGCTTTGTTCAATCTTTCTAATTCACACCTGAGCAGTTTGGTCAACGGTATGATCTTCAAGATTGATGGGCTCTTCTTCCAGTTGGTGACTTGATCTTTAAGGATTTGATTCAAGGGTGGTGAATCGGCACGTGTAGCCCACAACGCCTAGCAAGTCGACCCAAGAATTTGAGGGTCAAAACGAGTCCTCCACCCATAGTGATTGCAACCTTGATGATATGAGATACTTTTGATTTTGAAGAAGTAGCGGATGAATCGGCATATGCTTTGTTGTGCTTGTCTCCACATGCTTCAATGTATCATTTTCCCTTGCCTTATCTGTTCTTTTGGCAGATGTGGTATCTTCTCTGGAAGCATAAGATGTTGAGATAATGGGTACCTCGAGAGTAATGCTCGGTAAGCAATCAGGGAAGGGTTCCAAGCAGTCGTTTCCAGATCGGAAGATTGATACCAAGTGCTGGCTGATTGCATTCTTTCTCATTGTCCCGCAGGTAAGAACAAGGACAAAGAAAAGGACATGGAGAAAGCATGATATGAAATACTCTTGCTTTCGAAGAAGTGGTGACGATTTGACAGCGTTGCACAGCGAGGCTTTGCTCTTCGGCGATGGTGCCGTCAATATGTTGTTGGAGCTTCTCGAGCTCTTGGATTCAACTCAGACCCCTTCTTCTCTCTAATTCTTCAACTCGGACTCATTCTGCTGAGTTGATTGTGCATGCCGCATTTCCTTATTTGTTCTCCAAGCAGATGTGGCAGCTTTTTGAATTCCTCAACTTAGACTTCTTCTGCTGAGTTGACTGTGTATGCTGCATTCTTCTCTGCTTGTTTCTTCTGCACGTTGTCTCCACATGCTGCAAGGTATCATTTTCACTTGCCTTATCTGTTCTCCAGGCAAATGTGGCATCCGAGTTTGAGTGGAGGTTCCGGCATATTGTTTTCTTTATCCTTGTTTTTGTAGGTAAGAACAAGGACAAAGGAAAGGACAGGGAGAAAGCATGATATGAGATACTCTTGCTTTCTACCCTGGTGATATGAGATACTTTTGCTTTGGTGTCATTTGCTTGCAGAGGTACCCCAAGGAATAAGGAACACTGAGTGACTCGAGACGCTTCGTTGGGAAAGCATTTTTGGAGATGAAGAAAGGTTCTGTATGTCTGCCTTGCTATGGAAGGTGAAGGTGGACAGTTATAGGAAGTCTTTTAATACCTGTAGAGGTACTATTCTTTCACTCGTGTCGGCAACCAATGTGTGATTGATCGGTATGGCTTCACGTGCTTTCTTCTTTTTCAGAAATCTTCGACAAATTGTCCGTAATTTCCGCCAAGCTAAGTGTGCATGTAACAGGTGTTGACGAGGTTGAAAAAGACTGGCGCCTCTTCGATATCTGTGATGGGTGCTGACGCGTCTGGAAAAGCAAGATGCTTCTCCGATTTCTAAGCTTGCCTCTTTGATTTTTGAATCGGCCTCTTCGAATTCTGAGCTCGCCTCTTCGATCTCTGAAATCCCGTCGAGTGTTGATTTTTATAGAGGCACGCAGTTCGTTTCAAAGCACACTTGAATTTTTGCTTGTAGAAACTCCATTCTTGCATTTCTAAGATCTTGATTTGTTCGACCTCTTCTTTCTTCAACACCTTTGAAAATGTCTGGACTCTCCGACCGTCGTTTTGATTTGAACCTTGGTGAAGAGGTAGTCCCGCCTTCTCCAGACAACATATGGCGCCCATCCTTCATATCCCCTACTGGTCCTCTTACCGTTGGGGATTCGATGATGAAGAATGATATGACTGCTGCGGTGGTGGCCCGGAACCTTGTCACTCCCAAAGATAACAGACTACTTTCCAAGCGATCTGATGAGTTGGCTGTTAAAGATTCTCTGGCTCTTAGTGTGCAGTGTGCAGGTTCTGTGTCTAATATGGCCCAGCGCCTATTTGCTCGAACCCGTCAAGTTGAATCCTTGGCGGCTGAAGTGATGAGTCTCAAACAGGAGATTAGGGGGTTTAAGCATGAGAATAAACAGTTACACAGGCTTGCACATAGCTATGCTACAAACATGAAGAGGAAGATTAACCAGATGCAGGAATCTGATGGTCAAATTTTACTTGATCATCAGAAGTTCGTGGGTTTGTTCCAACAACATTTGCCTTCGTCTTCTGGGGCTATACCGCGTAATGAAGCCCCAAATGATCAACCTTCGGTGCCTCCTCCTTCTAGGGTTCTGCCTAGTACTGAAGCTCTGAATAATCACCCTTTGGTGCCTCTCCGATCTGGGACTCCGCCAAGTACTGAGGCGCCACCTGATCAATGAAGGCTTTTGTTTGTTTACACTTTTTT